ATAATTTTACAGTATTGGATTTTTCAAAAATATATGGACGGACACGATAACGGAATTCCAGAATCAAAATAAAATATAAAGCGGTAGGTATACGCGTTTATTTACATTAAATATCATAATATTATAATTTCTTCTTCACGATAATTCTCCCTTTCAAACTTTTTCAGTACCGAATTCGATGATACTCGGTGGACCCTTATGCAGTACCAAATATACCAAATATATWACGAACATTTATTCCCTTTAATTTGATATCGATTTGCATCGTTGTTATTATTATTTATTTGCCATTATAAGTTATTATTGTAATTTGAACGACTTGCGCTGATACAAATTACTTTCATTTCTACTCGACCGTTAAAAACGATACAGACAAATTACGCACATTGAACATATACGTATAGTCCATTCGGTCTTTTTAAGTTACTAAATCGTTGTTGAAATATTATTATCTTTTTATTAAAATTATTCACGTTTTTTATTGGTCATCAGACTAAAAATATGTACCTAAGACGACAGCCAGAGTGATCTTTTTATAKATAGATTCMTAAAATACACTCAATTTATTATTCTATAAATATAGCGTAAAGTATAATACAGCTCTGCAGTATTATTATTCATGTAATAATTTTTCAAAGGTCAAGTGGTAACCTTTCGTGGTACTAATTTTCGAACAAATTATTATCAAATTGACCATGCATGGCATACATAATAGTAATAATAATAGATATAATTCATACCAATAATATGATGACAATATATTATATATAACATCGTCGTTAAACGCTCAACAATGATTCGTAAAATAAATATCAAGTACAAGTATTATTCTCTCCGAAGAGCCATAGGTCGGGGGCGAGAGAGGTTAACGAAGACATCGGGAACATTTGCATTTTATAACATCAAAGAGAGTGGGCTGATATAAATAAATAACGGGGTATACCGCACTCTCACACACGCACACTATGTTTTAATATCGCTGGCGGCTAAAGTTTTAAAAGTTATGCGTTTCATTAAATTTGACTGTGGGCCGACCGCCGGCTGCTGTTTACAACCTCTCGGAATCAAAATGAAGCCACCACATCGCTTCGTCCCACGAAGTAAAAAAAATAATAATAATAATAATCGTAATAATAATAATAATAATAATAATAATAAGCCACTTCAAAAAGAGCTACCGCAACCTAACATTATAATCATAATAATAATAAACCTTAGTGTGCAACGTCTGCCTGGCCTCCTTACTGTACTATATGTACTTGCTGTTCCACCCATTCACCTTCCGAAGCACCTGAGTAGAATATTATAATACGTTCCCATCGTTTTTTATTTTTTTATCGGAGAGAAACTGCGTTCACTCAAGAGGATTTTCCGAGAAACCAACAACGTTATATGTGAATAAGTGCTCTACATGTAAATCGTATTTTTATTATTCTAATGAGCCAAAAAAAAAACGTTAAATTTTCTCATTTTCTACAGATAACATTCATCGTTCATTGTTATAGATAGGACGACAAATAGTGTTTCGTTTTTAAAGAGGTGCTATAGTCTCGCCAGATATGCACTTTAAAATATCAAATATTATAACTTTTATATTTATTCGCATTTATTTCTAAACGAAAATTACACGTRTTTGATATTTCTCAGGCTTCATAATAATTATTGACTTTGGTTTTTATAGGTATTATATTTATTTCGATTGTTTATCAAATCTATTATTTAATATTCAGTACAGTTTATGTATTACTACTATAGCATACCGTGTTTGTTAAACATGATGTTCGCTATTATAATGAGAGAACTGAATGTCCTAGAAAACAAAATTTATCGAATATCTATTTAAATCAAATGYCAACAAAATCGAAAATCAATCTTTACAAATTCGTAAAATCCATGGACACAAAAATAAATAAATTTTTAAACAATAACAAAACACACGCGTTGGTAAAATATTAATAATGTTTAATAATGGAATTCGACCAATCCAACGTTTATGTACGCGTGTTATAATAAGCTGCATGAATATATGTATTATATTAAACGTGATACCAAGTAAGAACATTATAGTGTTTCCAAAAAGCAAGATTAAAGAGAAGAACGGGTAGCCGACAGCGACTAAATGGGATAAGGCAAAGGAGATGATGAAAAGTAACCCAACATTTGGGTCTAAGTGCAATGAGAGTAGAAACATTTCTACAGAACACCTTTAATGGACGTTTGTAAAGTCCTATAAATTGAGGAAGAGTTATAAATCAGCGAGCTAAGGTAGCGCAATTTATTCCAACGCGCGACTAGAAGTTTTAGGACAATAATCCTTACGATTTTAAACGTTTAATTTCCAAATGCACATTCAATTCATTCCATGTGTAAAAGTTTGCATTCTCAAATAATTTTAATAGGTTTTTTCTCAGTTCGTTACGATTTATGTACACCAATAAAATTTCAAATAATAAGTAAAATTTCATTTCCCCTCACCCCTATTATCCGACCACCTAAAAGACAGTAGTTCACTTTCTTTTTTGTTCGTCTTCTATTTTTTGTTATTTTTTAACGAGTGCTCGTTAAAATTCTTCAAGAAGACATTAAGATTGTTKATTAACGAGCGTTTTATAATAATAAATTGGTGGAGGCTAGCAATCGCAAGTTTTTGTTCTGTTCAATCGTAAACGCTGCAGCAACACGAATTTATAATTAATTAATCTCGTTAGGATAACATTTGGAGTGGGCAAAAGACAAATACGATTTATCGGATTTACCAACTTGCCATCTTTTTTATTATTATTACTATTACTATTATTAWTATTATTATTCAAAATACTGTGAAAGTAGATAATGGTGGAATTTTAATTGACAGCATCGACATTTGAAATTAACAGTACGATTAAAAAAGTGAAAAATAATATGCATATAGTGTAATGTTTATAGCATATCATCGTCATGTAATAAGCTCAAATGAATATACATATTTGTTATTAAAATATAAATTCTACTGTGCAAATRTATTTAGCTGTTTGTTTCACATTGAAATAATTTTAATGAGATTTCGAAGTTAAATTACATTGTGTGCACGCATACACGTTTTATTTCAGTAGTATTTATATTATGTCAATAACATGTATTGTATTATGTTTGTTTATCACAAGTACACCAGATCCATAAAGTATTTGACAAGCGTTTACAAAACTATGCAAACAAGTAGAACGTGAAATAATATATTCTGATGATCAAAAACGTTGCCGGCAAACGTCACTATGCATATATAGGTTCCTTAAACTTTAATACGAGTAATGGCTAATAAGCATCACACAGATCGACTGTCATTGAAATGAAAATATTATTTTGAAATATTATTTATTATAATCGATACTTATATATTATATTATTATTATACATATAAATACAGCAACATGGTTTTAATTCATCAGTCAACGGTTGTTGACCAATTATGTTTTAGAAATCGATTCAGATATGTCTCCAGAAAAAATAAACTATATTTAGTTTGGCACTGACATTTTTAAATGCGTCGTATCGAAGGCGTTCAGAAATAAACACGTTATCTTTACTTGACAGTTAAATGCTTTAGAGTGAAGTCGAACAAGTAATCATAATAATAATAATAATATGTTCCTATAAAGTGCATGTTGACCACACACAGTGTGTGACAGATTATAATGTCGGAAGTAACATGTGTCGCGCACGTAAAACTTATAGCTTTTAACATCAATATATTTACGCAGGATACGACAGCTAGTGCAAAATAAATACGTATATTTTTTCTATTCTTGGTAACAATAAAACTGTCAATACCACGTTTAACCTCCTCCTTCTCCCCCCACTCCAGTCACATCATTGTACCACTCCTACCCACTCTTTCACTCATATAATACAGAACGCGCGAGGGTATCTTGCTCTTCATATCGGAATTATTATTATCATCACACATGGTCACCACGCATAAAACAATATTGTAACAATCATAATAGCAGCGTTATACAATACAATAATTGAATAAATATATAAACATTAAATGTATTAATACATTATATTTATAAAAATAAAAATAAATAAATGAAAATTGATGATCCTCGAGGGTGACTACGATATTATTATTATTATTGTTGTTGTGATGATCACGCTACGCTGTGTATTAATGAAATCGTCGAAAATTCGTGTGTTTCAGACCTGCGGGAAAGTGTTTGGGAACGCGTCTGCACTGGCCAAACACAAGTTGACACACAGCGACGAACGGAAGTATGTGTGCAACGTTTGCAGCAAAGCTTTCAAAAGACAAGACCACTTGTAAGTGTTTCTACATTGTACAATGTACGATTAACTTGCTACGTTTTAAAATATACGTCATGATTGTAAAATACGTCATAATATATCACGTGTGTTAGAACTATCGGACCGGCCTGTTATTCTAAGTGCACCAAAAAAATATTAACTTTTTCGCGTATTTTCATTTTTTGTGTTTGAATTATATTTATATTTTTTTCGTACCACCGCACATATACACACTCGATCATAATTTCATACGTCTCGGTTGATATTTTCAAATTATACCGTATTTACATAGATATATTTTTATTTATTTATTTATTATTTATTTTTTTAAACCTCCGAGAACGGTCGTAGCCTAACAATAATTTATGTTCACATAGGACCTTTTTTCATATTTATCGTGACCTTTTCTCCACTTTCCCCCCGTTGCCTCTCACCGCGGCCATGACCACTACTACTACTACTACTCCTCCAAACCGACACACCCCATCACCCTCCCCACCACAATCACCACCGCCACTGACTCGCCGACCGAAAACGTCCAACACCACCCCAACGCCACCACTTCCGCAGAACTAGCCTCCGGCCACTGCAACCGATAGCGGTCCCGTTCATGGTCGTGCGGTGGGTCGCTGTTGTACCCTACATCCCCTTAGTCGGAGCTCCCGACTTACGTAAATCGACAAGTATCGGTTTTCATTACGTCGGGGAAATTGAAAACTCAACCCCGCCTGGGATATAAGCATAACCGCATCGACATTATTGCCTAAGTACCTGTGCGCGTGCATGATATATTATAACGTAAATGGTATTTTTTCCCGACCTCTGCGCTCCCAMCAACAAATACACACACACATACACCACTCACACCAGTGACCTTACCGCGGTGCGAGTTGAATATCCACATCATGTATGAATTACCGCGCATAGGCTTAACACCGGCACCAATAATAAAAGTATGTATTTTGAAAAATAAATTTGCGTAAGAAACCTGAGACTCGTAGTGATTTTTTTTTCATAAATTGGAAAATGTATTCCGGTCTCATATGTATATGGTACTGCAGTAGTCGTCGTCGACAACGTCTGTGAAAACGGGTCAACGCATTACTTACCATCACCTAAAGGCTATTATATACGTTATATATATACCTACGCGCACGTGAATAATCGAACGGCTGACAACCCCCTCGGGTGGATAAATCGGCGATTCGGGAAAATAACGTCATACGCTCGTGATAATAATATATACGCACGTACATAAACAGTCTCGTTTTCTGTAACGGCACGTGAGGTATTTCTCGAGGCGGAAAAAATTAAAAACGGACCAAGACTACAACGCCTAACCCACGCACGACGTCAGCCCACGTGTCGCTCGGTTATATACGCATATCATTATGTATATATACACAACAGCATTTCCATCACGCTTCTAGCAGCTGTCCGTTTGATGGAACGAATATACTAACCTAACCTTTAAACATCTCCAAATGCCAACTATGGAAAACGTCAATTCGACAGTGTTTCTCTTATTTCAAAAAATAAGATCCTTCGGCATTTGCCATTCTCCTCGCCCGCTCGCCCGCGTCACCCGTGGGGTTATTCATTCGTAATGTAGATCAGACTTGGACGAACGGAGTTCATTTAAATATTCAACTAAAACAACGCAAAAGTTTTTTTTTTTTTTAATTTCGGAAATATGGTTCCAACATCGGGCTCGTCTTAAAATTAAAAAGAGTCAAAATAATTTTTAAATAACCAGCAGYGAGTCCCTCTCAAATAAACCCCAAGAGAGCTATAAGACTATTTCTCATTAAAAATAGACTGCCTATATATACTAAATGAGCATAATAAGTATAAACCTAAATGTCCTAGACGGGTCGTACGCAGCTTTAATTATAAATCATTGTTTTCGAAAGATAATTGCTGTTGTCTTACATATCAATCTATTATAAATAAATGCATAGGGTTAGAACAATTATCGAATGTCCCAGCAATAATATTCTTGATACGACGTCTTAAGTTATAACGCAGTTTATAATGAAATAATTTCAAACTCGTTAAAAGGATGATCACCGATGTTTTTACATAAAAAATTGAACATATTATTTATTTAACTATTTTAATTAAATACACTAGTTTTATGAATAGTTTAAAATCTGTTCATATAGGTATTTCATATTTAGTTTAGAATACACCGCTCCTATGAACCCAAAACTTAATATAATATTATGTTAGAATTTGTTAAACCTTTCATAAACTTATAGAAGCGTGTGTTTAAGGTGAATCTTCTTAAACATAACGCTATCATAATAATATTCTAGTTATTCAAGTTTTATGTAATTAAAGTTTAGAATATATAATCCATGTATTTTTCAAAGTGTAATTTTGAGTGTTCTGTGTAAATAAATAGCAAAAATATCATCTTTATACGCAGTATATTATGACGATTAATACTATCGGGCAAATAAATAAATTAAAAATGTTTATAAGTAGGAAAATATTAGATATCAAATATACAGTTTTCAAGAGCAATAAAATAAATGTTGTAAGCTGATAATCAGATTTTAAGAAAAAAATTTTATCTAATTTTATATAGGTATTATCAAAAATAACAATAAACAATTTTTTTTTTGAGACAACTAGATCAATACCGTTATAAATATATTATGCTCAATAAAATAATTACTGTGCTTGAATAAAAATAGTCTCATTTACAATCATCTACAATAAATTATTATTTAAATTTGAATATTTTAATCGGGTTTATTTACCACCACTCTCCGGTTTGATGTGTGACGTATAGTTAATATGTTATTTTTGTTTATTATATTATATTTTAAAGTATGAATTGCCATATTATACAGTACAAGTTGATATTGCTGATTGAATTTCGATTGGCATTGATTCCGTAGTTTTGAACACTGAAAATAGAAATTCATTTGAAATACTTACGTCCCCGAATCATTTTGAAATGAAAAATAATATTGTCACCAGGGAACGCTTATATTTCACGTATATTTCAAGTCTCGACTCTCAAAATATGTATCACGAAATTGGCCATCGACGTCGGCGGAGCGGCGACGGAAATAACAATTTCGTCCCCTCTAACTCGATAATATTTTAAACGAACCCTATCGTCAAAACCAGGAAATTCCCGGAGGACGCCCTTCTTACCTGCCGTCCGAGATAAATGGTTGCTAAAATTGGTTTCTCAATAGCCAAGATGATCGGCCGACGGGGATAGACTCCCAAGCCYYTCGGTCCATGGTTTCTGATCCCGGTACCGATTTATATCCCCGTGACCCAATCGATTTTCAATGATTTAGTTTTCGGTATGTTGTTTCTCTGGCCGATAACGTGCAGTGGAATGGGTACGCGCCGTCGAAGGACGGGTAGGAAGTGGAGAAAAAAAATAAAAGGAAGAAAACACTCAACCAGGTATATACAAGGGCGGATTCCCATACATACCCACACACAAACACACGTACACATACACTCACACACGCCCATACCGGGTTTGGTCGTATATCAGCCGAAGAGAAACCGGAGCAATAATTTCGGCGCTGTAATACAGCTATAAATCTATTAACGCCACGCCCCTCCTGTCCCTCGAACCTCCACTCACTAACCCCGAAACCTACCACTATACCGTATACCAGAACCCGGTACCGCCGCTCCACCCGTGCAGTGTTCCAGTATAGAAAACGACGAGAGAACTTTATCCGGATTGTTCTTTGAACAATAGTCGTTAGCATTTCCGACCGTGCTCGTGTTTTGGTGATTCTGTAATAATACGCCAAATCCCACTGTTTCATTTCCGACATTATATTATCACGGTGGAAAAAAAAAGTCCCGCGGATAAAAATTCTAGTGCTTGGCTCGTAGTATATGCTTGTATGTATATTATGTACATGCATACATGTATAATAATATATATACGACTACGGAAAACGTGCAGGGTACAATGAGAAGGAAATAAAACAATTACTTTGCTGCTACACTACGGTGCGATAGGGTGCGGGAACATGGTGTAAATACATTTTTTTTAAATAAACGGACATTTTTCTATTACGCCGTAAAAATTAGTAAAAAAAAAAGAAGAAAAATCCAAAAAATGTAATTATTATTATTATTATGTCCCTGATTATTCGTAGACCGTGCAGGTTTGCAACAAATAACGATTAACGATATGGTGATAATTTTGGTTTACGCTTCCACCGCCGSACAACACGCGTATATATTGTATAAACGTATACACACACACGCACACACCTATTTTAATATATACTTTTATCGTCCTGGCAAACGCTAAAATAGTGTTGCTATAAAATGTCCACCACAAAAAGGTTCTTTAGCTTTTTGGCGCATTCATTACCGCGTTATCTTACCGAGTAATTCGGTAAGGCCGTCAAATCCGTTTTAATTAGTTAACCTCACAACGTTACTGTTGATAATGTCCTCACGGTGGTCCCACGGGTACGAAATATATATTTTGTCAAAGCATTTTTTTTCTTATACTTAGCGTAGTCGACGGGCAGATGAGAAAATACTACTTATAGGAAACAGACGATTTTCAGTGTCGTTAATCATTATTATTCGGCTGGCGTACGCAATTTACACGTTTTCGATTTATATACCCATTAGGTGTATTCTGTGAAACCGTAATCGGTTCAAGGTCAATAGATTGAGAGACTAATAARCCGCAGCGGTAACACTACCRGAACGTCCAAACGTGATACCGGACCATACGACAGAGATACCATACTAGGATGGTGTGCCACTTGAGACTGTAGAGCAATATTCTAAATTCAATACGTTATCCAGACGAATGATTTTCGATATTATTATTACTACTATAATATTATAATCTATGCAAGGTTGTTTTTATTTTTCATATCGTATTCTGAATCATACACCGTTTTTTTTCCAACCTTCCCCGATGATTAGTGAATCCACCATTCATTAAGCGAAACAAGTACATTTTTTTGTTTTTTTTTGTGGTATAACCTTTATATTTTGCGAATATTTCCTTACACTTTAAATCCTCCGCTATAATATTCATAAGTATAGTTTATAATAAAATAAATTTACACTAATATTTAAACATGACGTGTGTACAATTGGCTATAACGAATTAAAATTTTATTTGAATACAAACTTYTTATCTCTTTAATCATGGTATAATAGTCTTATGTTTTTTATAAATCATWACAATACATTTACATTTTTTTCGAACTCGAAAAACAATCTCGCGTCATACTCACCCGAGCCAATTTTTTACCAAATCTAATTATTCTTAAGTCGGCTTAGATTACATCGAACCCTCCCCTTTCCTTCACCCTCCTCCTCCAAGTTGCACCAAAAGTAGCTATACAGCCTCTGGATACTTACATGCACCAACCAGCCATTTCCAAATGTAAAATTAAAAATCCATCCCTCGTGTACACGATAGTGACGATGTGCATGTCCTGGCAGGAACGGACACATGCTGACGCACCGGCACAAAAAGCCGTTCGAGTGCAAGGCCAGCGGATGCGGCAAGTCGTACTGCGATGCGCGGTCRCTGCGCCGGCACACGGAAAACCATCACCACCATCAGCCGTCGTCCAATCAGGGCTCGCCACCCGCGTCGCCGTCCTCGTCCACGAGTTCCGGTTGCATTCAGTACGCACCCGCGCCCATGCCGTCGCCTCCCGGATCGTCCGCGGCCGCCACGTCCACCACGGTGGCCGCCGGTGCGTCGTCTTCGACTTCGTCGCCATCCACGTCGTCCACGTCGTCCTCGTCGTCTTCGACCGCGTCCACTTCGGTGGCGTTCGGATCCATGACAGCCGTTTCGGTTTCGACGTCGGCGTCGTCATCGTCTTCGTCGTCGTCTTCGTCTTCGCCATCAATGTCATCGTCATCGACGACGTCCTCGTCCGCCGCACCGCACCACCAACAGCAGCCGCATGACGCGACGCCCAGTCAGCTGCAAAAGCTGCTTAGCGCCGAACCACTGTCGTCGACYGGCGGCAGCGGCAGCGGAGGAGCACTTCCTTCAAAGGTAAGAGATTGTAATGGATATATAATCATAGAAAATAATTGAAATATTAAATGGAAGGGTACATGGAACGGAATGTTGCCCGAAAATAATTCCAGATTATAATGCAGTGGTATGCAATGGTTACTGTATATAGTGATTAATCATATTGTTTTATCGTAACAGTTAATAATTTATAAATGAAAATGAAATAAAATGATTCGTTTTTATAACAATATGAATTCGCATGATGATTTTAAATTGATTTAATTCGCTAGTTTAGAATGATACTAGTTTAGAACCTATAGTACACTATTTTTATTTAATCATTTTGCATTTGATGAAGTGTCGAAGTGATAATCATATTTCAATAACCACTACTTCCTTATGGTAACATACACACATTATTAATAGTAAAGTGTATTATTTTTTTATCCTAGATAATATATTAATAAACTACCGATTTTCTGAGACTATAACATTATACACTAGTATACCATCAGATATAATATATTATACCAAATATACCATCTGTACCATCTGTAGTTTCTCGATCGTTTTGATTTAAAATGCAATTTTATATTACTGTCATATTTTAATCCACTGACTCATATTTTGTATCTTCTATCCAATCTGTCGGTGTTTTTGGTACCTGCCAAAACTATTATTAAAACATAACATTTTTACCGCGCCCAATAAAATATGCTTGCATCCCCGCCGATAAACTCCTATTTTGTGGCACTGTTTACTATATTATTATTATTTTATTTTAAAGAAATAAGGCTTCAACAACTTAGGTTATTAACATGTTATTGTTATTATTTATTTTATAGTTTTATCGTTATTATTWTTATCTTAAGTATTTCGATATTGGACAATTTAATCGCCATTTTTAAGAATCATGATATTGTATTTGTGTAAAAATATTTACGATAGTTATTATAGCGTTATTAATATGCCACATGATATATTCTATTCGTTAAGAATTGGTGGGTATAAAAATCAAAAAAAATAATAATAATAATAAAGGGTAACAGAAAGATTTATGCACGTTTCTACTGTAATTAAAATACGATTCATCATTGTTTTTCGGTGTAAAAATATCTGTTTTGTCTATGTCGACATTTTCATTAGCTCTTACTAGTATGATTTAATTAGATAAACTTGATTAAATACACTATGCTAATAAAGTTGTTCGTTATCATTAACAATAGTGTAGTTGAAGCTATAGTATAACAGCTTTTTTAATTAAATATAAATTATAATGTCTTCAATATTACAATATTAGATTCTGAGCGGAGCGAGGAACGTATTGATTTTACCATGATRTGTGTTTTTTTTTGTGGCAGTAAAATTTAAAACAAGATTTCTTACAAGTTTGTCAACCTTTATCATAAAATGAATATCCACCAGAAAGTGAAATTAAGTTTTTATGAGCGTTTGAAATTTAAATTTTTACAACATTTTCACTAGATTTCTCATTTAGCGATTTTCTTATTTTGTTGTAACTCTAAAAGGAATGACCGCAGATACTTTAATTTTCACAGAATGTTTATATAGGCATTTTCTATATTTGATAAAATTTTCAAAATATTTTGATTAGTTTGGGCTGTTTACTGACATTTTAATTTTTCAACTTTTTTAGTTTTTTTTTTCTATTTATGTCAATAAAATTGTATAGGTTGGGTCAAAAAGTTTCAAAATTGAATATAAGGCTTTCAAAATGTTTCAATAGCAGTTGAAAATATTAAAAATACTAAGCACGATTTTTTTCTAAGCATTTAAAGTTCAAATTTTTACTAAATACGTGAAAAGTACAGCAATGTTCAAATTATAGATATAAATTCATAAAAAATAAGTATTAATAATAAGAAATAATAATCTATAATATATCCCAAACAGATAAACCGTCTACGCTCAGAATCGTTTTTCGTATACAATGATATAATATCAATGGATTCAAATTTAATTCCATCCATTACATTAACCCACTTGTAACCTACTGTACAGCGGAGCGATATCCACTTTCCCGCTTTTTAAAACACACATTGCATTAAAATTGCATATACAAAGCGCCTTCTTATGAACAAATTATATTATTATTATTTGCTCACTGTATATGCAATTATTTTGTTTTTTACAATGTGATTAATAATAAAGGACAAATTATACGGCCTTTTATCAAAATTTACAAAATAAATTATAATCTTCGTATTACATTATTATACTGAGAATGATATTAAATATTGTCTGCGCATCCTAGATTGAATGAAAATATTAAATACTATCACAGATAGTTTAAACTCAATTATTTGATTTCATTTCATTAAAAAAAACTTTCTTGCCTGTATATATAAAATTGTTTAATGCCACAATGAATATTCAATAATGAATATAAATTTTATTTTATGTTGGTCATATTAACATTATGYAAGCTTTATGCTTAAACTATAATGTGTAAATATTTTGATTGAATATGCTGTAAAACACTATAAATACTATATAAAATACTATAAGCACGATAGAATACCTTTTAACGACTCGTAGAACGTGTATTAATGAATATTTTTATTTTTATCTCTGAAAATGTACGTATTGAATAGAACAGCAAACWTTCCAATATTTTTTCTCGGAAGTAAATGAAATTCATAGATGTTCATAAACTTTATTTGAAAGAATACAGCCAATTCAATGCAATTTTTCACAGTTCTTCAAAATAACACAGCCATGAGAAAACTAAAAA